TATCTTCCAGTACGGGAATTTTATCAGAATTTCGAAAACGCGTTAAAAGCCGGTTTGGCGTCCAACCCCAGGCCTTGGCGCCTGGAACCAGGATTGGCGCCAGACGCCAGCCATTGGCGCCTGGCGCTAGCCACTGGTCCTGGCGCCAATGAGCCAGGGCTGACGCCAAGGTGGTTCTGTGGTCTTCAAACTCTATTTTGATAAGTTATCTTTTTTGGATGTTTTTCTCTATAAATATCGTATCAAAACTCCGTTTTCATGGACGAATTCACCAACTATCTTCATCATCTACAATCAATTCTCATCAACTCTCTTCATTCATCAAGGCTTTTAATTAATTCTCTTTATTCTTAAGTTTTTCATTCATCAATTTTCAATAACATTAATTCTTTAGAATTCTTTTCTAAACTTTGCTCTTTAATACAAAATTCCGCATTCACAAGATCTTGATACACCTAGCCATATTCGAAGTTGCCTTCTCCCTAGACGTGAAAGGTTTTAATTTCTGAGGGTTTGGTCCCAAATCTCTCTTTCAATTATTTAATTTAATTGTTTTGATTATTATTTTCCTTGAAGTTACTAACGTGTGTATTTTGTAATTAGAAAGAGGTACGAGGCATCCAAGTAAGTACTTTAAGGGATTTTATTGATTAATTGATTTATGATGTAGATATCATGTTTAGATTGTTATTGTGATATTCCTAGTATCATGTCTAGGGTATTTTTAATGTTAAATATGATTGCTATGATGCCTTTTATTCTCTTCCTAATATTTATTCATGTTAGTATCATGTTAGGGCTCAAGATTTGATTTTTATTGCTTAGTGACATGCTAGGGTTTGTTATTAATCTTGTTAGTATCATGCCTAGGATCTTGCTATGCTTTAACATGATCATGATTATTATTAATTATGATTGATATTATTATTATTAATGATGATGATTATTTATTATGTTGCTTGATATGTATATTATTTTATTATTTATTGCTTGATCACCTTTTATTGCATGCTTAAAGGGAATTGGTATTTGCAATCACGCTTAATAAGATATTTAATAATCTTGTTAGGTTAATTGTGATTATAAATTCAAGTGATCGCCAATAATAGTTTATTTGTGCATTAATATTCAACCAACATAGATTAAACAGGTTTAGGGTTAATCCTATTGATTGTATGTTAGTCAAAAAGCGCATATGAATACGAGCAGAATAAAGTAGAGGCCTATTATTAGGGCAAGTTCAATCTCTTTTAGGTTGGATTTGTACATTCATCCCCGAACCCTTATTTGGTTCATGACCTTATGGAGTTGACTATCTCTTGGATCGTTAAGGGGTGTAACCTTCACCTCGTGAACGGTTTACAAGTTTCTTAAAAACTTGTTGGCGACTCTTTTGCTCTATCTTCTTCCCTTTTGGACGCCATCGTACTTTAGTGTATGATCACAGTGGGGTTCAAGCTAGTGGGATTTTTAAGGCTTGAAACTATTCCCTACAACAGTTCTCGCATGAATTAGGTTCAATGTTCAATCAAACAATTTTAATCATTTCTAATCACATAATCACATGCTCACAAGTAATCCATAAACATGATTAAAAATCACAACCTAAATATTAATGCATACAAGAACATGATTATTTCTAACTTATATGCCCAATTTTCATTCCTACCCAATCTCACCAACGTGCTTCTTTTTTTTTTAAAAGCTATTAACACATAATACTTACCTTAATCCTTGCTTTCCTGCAAAATGAACAAACTAAAAAAAAAATTCGAAATTAAATAAGAAAGGAGACTAAAAAAAAAATTTCAGACCTCCCTTTTAAAAAAAAAAAAAAAAAAAAAAAAAAAAAAAAAAAAAAAAAAAAAAAAAAAAAAAAAAAAATTGGACCTCCTCTTAAAAAAATTTCAGACCAATCAACTAAAATTAAAAAAATTTCCGACCCTTTTTATTAAAAAAATTCAAAACAAAAAAAAAATTGGTTTTAAATTTAATCAATAAATATTTAATGTTCCCAAAATAAAATAATTAGAATAAAATAAAAATTAATTCTCAAAAAGTTTTACCAATAAATAAATACTTGGCCAAATTTAAAATAAAAACACGTTTTTAGCTTTAGTGGTAATAAAATCTCAACCAAAGCCCTGATACCACTTTGTAACACCTAAGATTTTCCTTCCTTTTAAAATACCTGTTTTGCGTAGTTTATAACTTTTAAATAGGAATATCTAAGACATTATCGCCACCCTGATAACGGTTAAAGCAATTATCAAAGACACACAACGGATGACTAACTTCAAAACATTTCAAACCAAGTCAACATTGAAAGTCAAACAACGAAAGTAAATTCAAACCAAAGTCAAACGAAGTAAAATAAAATCTACCTACAACTTGGAACCATAGTAGGCCCTTATTAAAACAAACCGAATTCAAGGCCATTTTCGTTAGTCACATATAATAAATAAGTCATAAATAAATAAAGAAATAACACATTCATATACTTATAGAAACTAGCATGATTCGCTCTTCACTCATGCCCATTCATGAGTATGCTTCATCACCTGAAAAGCTTATCTCTACTTGTTTTCACTACTCTCCATTGAAAATGAGTCATCATAGGGCCAAGATAAAATCAAGGCCAACAAACACAGAAAACACACAATCAGCAAAGCTGAGTACATAAGCGTAATTAACACACTAACATATAATTTCCTATCAACACACAACTTACCTTGTTGCACCTTTTTTCAAGCATACATCATTCAATAAAATTTCTCACTAGACACTACATAATTTATTTATTGCTGACTACGCATCGAACGGTATTCCCGTTCAACCTCCTCAAAATAAATTGAGGTTACTGACACGGGAGCAAACCGTGTCAGCATCAATAACCACTCGTAAGTGGCGGAATTTCTGCGCATAATAATAATAAAAGGAATGTACATCGTCCTGTACTCCAGTAGAAGTTATGATCAAATATAAAGTCACATAACTCCCCCCACATGTTCATACTCAAGGTATATACGTTCCAAGATTTTTGGTGCGTAATCACTTTTACTTTACGTTATTTACAGATTATTAAACTTGGTGATGACACTCAAACCATAATCATTCAATTAACAATAATTATTCAGACAATCAAACATACCAATTTAATTCTTGAATAATAAGTGACCACATAATATTTAATGTTGAATCCTTTTTAATTCTACCTCGGTGCCAATGACACCTTAAACACATAAAGCACCACAAATCATATCCCTCTTTGTTAAAAACACCTTAAATGCACTAAGGCACAAACATACAATTTATTCCTCGTGTACATAGACACTTATATAACTCTTTCCTCATACTTGTAGCATCAATAAAAATTATATGAACCATAAATAAGTTCCTTTTTAATATTCCAAACCAAATTAAATATTTAGTTTAATGAAACATGCTCTCTAACATGTCATAAATAAATATGTGGTTCATAAATAATATTCCAAACTAATATTTTCCATTGAATAATCCATCACCAATAAATCATGTTCAAAATCCAATCACCAATAACATCCAAATCTTAATTTCCATTCCAAATTTACCTTGATACTACTTGCAATCAATCAAACACATTTTGCATGCTATTACATTAACATAATTATGCTAATTACGCGAACGTACCTTGTATACGATCTTAGTATTGCCACGACTAATAAAAATCGCTCATTTTAAAGTCTTCTACAATTTAAAATTATAAAAGAGTATTAAAATCAACTCTACACAAATTTCCAGCAATATATACTATTATAAAATCCCTCATAATTTAATTAAAATAAGCTGAAATCATATTTAAAACATCATACTTTAAGCCCAATTAATGGGTAATTACAATTCCTTAAAGAAACTTGATTTTAAATGCTCTATTAAAAATTCTAGCACTATATTTTAATTAAAACTTGCAGTAATGAAGCCTTAAAACACTTTAATTAAAGGTCTAAACAATTATATGTCATAACCCTTCAAAAAATTTACAAATAAAGAACCTAGGGTTTCACAAATTAGGGATTTTTAATTAAAAACATATTATCAAAATTAATAAACATAATACTTATAATCAAATCCCAAAACTCATAATTAACTTTTATATTTAGGCATAAATTAGTTTTTGACAATACAGATTATATATATTGAGAGGGCCGCAGCAGCCACCACGCCGGCTGCAAGTGCCGGTGGCTGCTTGCTGCCAACGGCTGACGCTGCTGGCGGCCGGCGGCCACCTGCTGTCGGTGGTTGGCGGTAGTGGTTAATTGTGTCGAAAAAATGAAGAAATCGGGAAAGGGAAAAAGAGAAAGAAAAAGAAAGAAAATAAGGAGAAAGGAGAGAGAAGTTTACCTTGGGTTTTCTCGACACTGGGCAAAGTTAATTTGCCTCATATGTGGGATATTTATACCCCTTCTCTACAAACCCTTTTTCCCTAACTTTCCACTTTTAATTTTCCTAACCCACCCCTAATAAAACTTTACTAAAATAAAACTTTCCTTAAATTAAACCCAACTTAATTAAATTAATTAAATAAACTTTCCTTGTATAAATATTTCTAAACTTATTTAAAATAATTGATTAAAATACTTTAAATAAAAAAATCAATTTAATTAAACACTTCTCAAAATACTTATTTTAATTAAAATACGTATAAAAATACGAGATATTGTAGTCTACCCTTTTTAAAAGAAGTTTCGTCCCGAAACTTGCAAAACGAAATTCAAAGTTTTTCTTCACTTAGTATAATATTGTTGTACTTTTTGTCATACCTATACCATAACTCAAAATACTCATTAAAATTGTGCAAAGAGCACAAAATAACTAAAAATATAGGGAAAAGGCGGAAAATTCTACCGCATTCTATCCTCCTAAAAGAAAACGAGTTACGTCCCCGTAACTCAACATACCCGAAATAACTCTGGGCATTTCTTTTTTATTTCATCTTCTTCCTCCCAAGTGGCTCTTACACATTATTGGTTAGACCATAGCACTTTCACAAGCTTGACATTCTTATTACGTGTACTATGCACTTTATTGTCAAGAATTTTGACAGGTTTCTCTTCATAGGTTAAACTTTGGTCTAGCTCAATTGTTTTAGGTTGTAGTATATGGAATTTATCAGGTATGTACCTTCTTAATTGAGACACATGAAATACATCATGCACTTTGCTTAGCTCCATAGGTAAAGCCAACCTATCAGCTACTTTGCCTATTCTTTGCAGTATTTCATTTGGACCAATGTACTTTGGGCTCAGTTTTCCTTTCATTCCAAATCTCATTACTCCTTTCATTGGTTATACCATTCATAATACTTTGTCACCAACATCGAATTCCTCCTCTCTAACACTTCAAATCTGCGTAGCTCTTTTGGCAATCTTGAGCTGCCTAAATCTTAGCTTGAATTTCCCTTGCTTGTTTCACTGTATCCTCGATCATTTGAGGCCCTAGAATCATTGTTTCACTTATATTGTTCCAACAAATTAGACTACGAGACTTTCTCCCATATAATGCCTCAAATGGAGTCATTCCAATGCTCGAATGATAACTATTATTGTAGGAAAAATCAATCAAATCCAAGCTATCCTCTCATCCTCTCTTAGTTTTCCCATTTGTGGCAATGTGAAACATTGTACTCATCTTAAGTGTCGTACCAAAGTTTTTTTGCACGCTTTTCCAAAATTTTGAAAGAAACCTGGAATCTCTGTTAGACACAATATCCTTTGGAACTCCATGTAACCTTATAACATTCTTGATGTAAGCTTTTTCAAGTTGTTCCATCTTCCAAGTTTCCTTCATTGGTATAAACAACGCATATCCTGTAAATCTGTCCACCACTACCCAAATGGTGTCATTTCCACTCTTTGATTTTGGAAGGCAAGTCACAAAATCCATTGAAATGCAATCCCACTTCGTCCATCAAGAAATTTCCAATGATTGCATAGTTCCCTGTGGCCTCTTGTGCTCTATATTAAACTTTTGGCAAGTTAGACATTTTCCTACAAATTCCGCAACTTCATTCTTCATTCTAGGCCACCAATACACCTTTTCAAGTCCTTATATAGCTTATCCCCTCCTCGGTGTACTTAATAGGGTGTATTGTGTCCCTCTTCCATTACCTTTCTCTTCACTTAGCTTCCTCACACTTTTGAGGTACACACCATCGACCTTTGTAACTTAGACTTCCATATTCATGAATTTTGAAATCTGTAGCTTTGCCTTGCTTTATTATCTCACGAATCCTATCCAATTTCTCATCTCCTACTCGGTTTTCCCTTATCTCATCGAATATGGTTGGATGGATAGTCATATTCGCAAGAATGCCAACTGGTACTCCCCATTCTACAACTTCTAAATTCATTTTACTCATTTCTCTACATAACTCATCAGCCACTGTCAAGGTATTTAACCCATGATTGGTCTTACGACTTAGCATCTACAACTACATTTTCTTTTCCTTCATGATATTGTATGTCTAAGTCATAATCCAATATACTCTAACCATCTCCTTTGGTGAGAGTTCAAATCCTTTTGAGTGAAAATGTACTTCAAGCTCTTATGCTCTGTGTAAATTCTACAATTCACTCCATACAGGTAATGACGTCATATCTTTAATGCAAAGATAATTGTAGGAAGTTCCAAATCGTGGGTTGGGTAATTTACTTCATGGGTTTTTAATTGCCTTGATGCGTATGCAATCACCTTTCCATTTTTGCAAATTTTTTGATGCATCGCTATATACATCATAAATACCACTATTGTCTAGAAGAGTTAGCACTGGTGCTGTAACCAGCTTTTCTTTTTCAAGAGTTGGAATGCTTCCACACACTTGTCATCCCACTCAAACTACTGTTCCTTCTTCATTAGAGTAGTCATAGGTTTAGCAATCTTTGAGAAATCTTTCACAAAACGCCTATAATATCCTGCTAAACCTAGGAATCTCCGAACATCAAACACTATTTTGGGTGTCAGCCAACCCTTCACAGCTTCAATTTTGGCTGGATCTACTTCCACACCATCCTTAGACACAAAATGACCTAAGAATGCTACCTTTTCCAACCAAAATTCACACTTAGAGAACTTTGCATAAAGATTGTTTTCTCTCAGTGTTTGTAGAATTGCCCCCAGGTGTTCTACATGCTCCTCTTTGTTCTTCGAATGCACCAATATATCATCTATGAACACTACCACAAACTTATCCATATATTTATGAAACACCGTATTCATCAAATCTATAAAGATTGCTGGAGCGTTTGTCAATCCGAATGGCATTACTATAAATTTTTAATGTCCATATCTTGTCCTAAAAGCGGTTTTAGGAATGTCTTCATCTGCAATCCTCAATTGATGATATCTGGACCTCAAGTCAATCTTAGAAAACACGGCTGCGCCTTTCAATTGATCAAATAAATCATCAATCCTGGGAAGTGGATATTTGTTCTTTATTGTCACCTTTATTTAATTCTGTATAATCAATGCACAACCTCATGCTCCAATATTTCTTTTTAGCAAACAGAACTGGTGTTTCCCAAGGGGATGCACTCGGTCTAATGTATCTTTTGTCCAACAAATCCTGCAATTGCTCCTTTAACTCACTCACCACTACAGGTGATAGGCTAAAGTCGTATCACCTAATCAAAAGTAATTCCTAAAACCACTAGCTAATAATAGATAGGGAAGTAGGATCGAATCCACAGGGAAACAAGTCTTTTTATTCCTAATTAATTAAAGCAATCTAAATTATTAAGTAACAATTCAATAATAAGGATATAAAACTAAACTACGGAGATTAAGAGTAAAGAGAAAACAATGAATAAAAGCCTAGGGCATAGGTTCACCAATAAATAACATTCCAGGGTAAAGCATAATAATCAATCATCAATGCATAATTAATCAGATTCATAAAGGGCTTTCGCTACGTATTACAATCACATAATTAATCAACCGGTATTAAATCTTATCTCACAAATCTCGACTTAACCATTTATAAATTAACCAACCTATTGAAACTAGACCTAAACATTAATTCTCATCTCTCGAATCTCGAATTAATATTGTCAAACTCATGCATAAAAAATCAGGCCTAATCTAGTCATAGAGCATTAAATCAATCAATAGGAAATTAATCTAGAATTGACAATCAACAACAATAAATTACCCCTTCATATTATTTATGGATCCCCATAAACCCTAGAAATAAAACTACTTACACATAATTAAATACTAGAGTGTACCCGTGCAAAATGCACGGGTTATATAAAAAAAATATATTTCAAATATGGAAAGTTGATCTTGATGTTATAACTTCTACTTGGGCTGCAATGGTCAGTTTTGGATTGGTCGACTCTTCTTAAACCTGTTTAGCTTTGCTCTAGTGAGTATAATAATCGTATTAACAATGTGCTGACACTTATTCTGTCTTGCTGACACATGCTCTGCATATGATATTCCCTACTTTGCTTATAAGCTCAAAAAACAGGATCTTACTCTTTTATGTCGGTGGCCACGCAATGTAGCTAGATATTATGAGGTTTACTTTGTCAAATTTGTAGAGGTTACCCATTTAGTGTTATAGGGTTACTCGGTTAGTGTCATATGGGTTAGTGCATGTCTTTCTCTAAGAGTTATATACTTTAATCTGTTGCAAATAGTTATTCGGTGAGGCCAGTTGCGCAAAAACGTGTTGTACTTTTTTTTTTTTGATGATAAGAGAAGTGGAAATTTTTTAGAGGGTAGTGCCTAAAAATATGCATATAATTAAAGGGTTAGGATTTTGGTCCTGTTCTCTTACTTAGAAATTCAGTTCAGTTCAGTTCATTTCAGTTCAGCTCAACTGAGTTCAGTTAAGTTCAGTTCTGCTCAGTTCAGTTCAGTTTAGTTCAGTTCAGCTCCTAATTTCCTTCTCTTATAAAATATTTATTTCATTTTAGTTTAGTTTAGTTCAATTCAGCTCAGTTCAGCTCAGTTTAGTTTAGTTCAGTTTAGCTGAGTTGAGTCAATGAGAACAGACCCTTAGAGTACTATAGTGAATTGTTGATAAAGGAACTGTATACACGTGCTAATGTATGACATATATTATACTATGTACCAAAAAATACTCGTAAAACAAAGTGTAATGTTAGTACATATTGTTGCAAAAAAAGTGAAATGTTGGGGATTTGGAGTGTTATAATGAATTGTTGATAAAGGAACTGTATACTCGTGCTAATGCATGTCATATATTATACTACATACCAAAAAAAAATCACAAAGTTAAATGTTAGTAGTATTTTCTTAAAAAACAAAAATGAAATATTGGATGGGTAGTTATTGTTTTTTTAAAAAAAAAATGGTAAAAAAATAAATAAAAATAAAGTTGTTGGATAGGTAGTTATTTTTTAAAAAAAAAATAAAAAAAAAAAAACCTTAAATGCATGAGAGTTGAGCATTTGGGTATTGGAGGATTTTTAGTGAAAAGTGTCTCTACAATTATAATTTATGGGGGAAGGTAATTGTTGGTGGAGCCGTCAGTGGAGGAGGAAGGTTGGCTGGTGGTAAGAGAGGGATTTTTTGTTTTAATTTTTTTGAATTATTTTATTTGTTAATTAACTATGATTAAATCTTTACTTAGGAATTAATTAAATTCTTTATTTTTGACAATTTTTCCAAATTAAAAAGTAAAGTGTGTAGTTTATATATTAACTTTTTTATAAGATGAAAAAACATAATAAATATGCTTGTAGTTTAATTTTGTTGAATAATGTGCAATTATATATGGAGATATATATTGAATTGTAAAATAGCAATAGTAATAGTGAAAGTGAAAGTGATTTATTTATTTATTTTATGTTTAATTTAGAGAAGTGGAAGTTATGGACAAAAAAAAATAAAAAAATAAATAAAAAATAAAAAAAGATTGCACCAAATTGTAGGATTGGGATTTTGGAGTGATGTAGTTAATTATTGCAAAAATGACTCTACAATTATATATTAGACTAAAGTGTACCCGTGCGAAATGCACGTGATATATAAAAAAAAATATATTTAAAATATGAAAAGTTGATCTTGATGTTATAACTTATACTTGGGTTGCAATGGTCGGTTTTAGACTGGTCGACTGTGTTGAACCCTATTTAGTTTTTCTCTAGTGAGTATTAATAATCGTATTAGCAATGTGCTGACACTTATTCTGTCGTGTTGACACCTGCTCTACATATGATATTCCCTTCTTTGCTTAGAAGCTCAAAAAACAGGGTCTTAATCTTTTATGTCAGTGGCCACGCAATGTAGCTAGATATTATGGGGTTTACTTTGT